CGTTCTCCAGTTGGGAAGATGGCTCAAAGCTACATTTCCATCGCACTTTCTGACTTCTATGCTAGAAATGCCAACTACAGAACACAGTTGACTCTTCTGTGAAGAACTCTAGCGACGATATTGTTGCTGCAGCATCAGCAGGTATACATACCATGTTATGAAGTTGTATAATTTTCATAATTTTAGCTGATTATTATACTCATCTGAAATGGTTCTTTCTTACCATGTTATGAACTTATTATATTTTAAAAATTAAAAAATAAAAGAGGTCCTGCAAGGTAGCACATGTGGGGCATGGCAGTGGAATGGAAACATAATCTTGTGGCCGAAAAACCAGTAGCAAAGAAGATTTGTAGCAACCGAAATTAGTCGCTGCCAAAAAGTTCCCCTGTTATTGTACTATTGTGAAAGAACCAAATATTATTAGAGCTACTAGATTTAGTGCAATGTCTGGGTACTTATATCTTATGACAATTTAAATTATTTAACCTTGACACAATTGAGTAGCAAATCTTTCGCACTGCTTGTCCTCAAATTGCTATAAATTTTGAGTTCTTTCATCATTTGTATGATTTTTACAGCTTTAGACCAGATAAAGAATGAAGAAGTACAAGCTATTATAGGGCCCCAAACGTTAACCCAAGCCAAGTTTGTGATAAATCTTGGACAGAGCGCTCAAATTCCCATTCTTTCATTTTCAGCTACAGGCCCCTCACTATCTTCAACCCAAAACCGTTTCTTCATTCGGACAGCTTTGGATGATTGTTCTCAAGTGAAAGCCATCACATCCATTGTTGAACCATATGGATGGCGTGAAGTTGTGGTAATCTACAAAGACACCGAATAGGGAAATGGTTTGATTCCATACATAACAGACTCCTTTCAACAGATCGATACGAGAGTACCTTACAGAAGTGTCATTTCTCCATCATCTAGTCCCTATCAAATTTTGAGAGAGCTTACTAAGTTAATATGGGAATGTTCACTTGGATCAAAAGTCTTTGTTCATGCAAAAGAAGCTGGCATGATGACTGAAGGGTATGCATGGATCATAATTGCTGGGCTATCAACTTTATTGCATCCAGTGGAGGCAAAGGCCATTGATTCAATGGAAGGTGTGATTGGTGTAAGGCCCTATGTACCAATGTCAAAAAATCTTACAGATTTTGAGACGAGATGGAAAAGGAGACCATCATTACCCAACATTGGCAAGACAAAGCATACTACTTCAAGGATAAACCTCTTTGGCTTATGGGCTTATGATACCGTCTGGGCTCTAGCTAAGGCTTTAGAACTGGTTGACCAGGAGGATAGTTAGTCGACGAATGCTCGAAAGCAGAAGAATAGTAGTGCTACAAATGCCGGAGAAATGTTAGGCATAACTCTCTAAATCGGGTGCAGCACTTGTGAACAAATTGCTTACTACCAGATTTGAAGGCCTAAGTGGACAGTTCAGATTAATTGGTGGACAGTTTCAACCAACAGCCTTTAAAATATTCAATGTGATAAGTAAGGGAGAGACAGTTATTGGATATTGGATCTCCAACACTAACAAAGAAACATTTGATGATTTAGTTCAATCAGTTAAAGTAGCATCAAACTATTCCATGGTTGATCATGAGCTTATGAAAACAAGAGATCCTATCTGGCCTGGAAACACATATATTGCACCAAAGGGTTGGGTTATACCTGTTACTGGCAAAAAGTTGAGGATCGGCATACCCGTGGCATCTGATGGTGTCAAAGAATTTGTGAACATAGACTGGTCTCGTCATGACAATGATCCTCAGAGATTTTCAGGGTTTTCAATTGATGTCTTCCGGGCGGTCTTAAAAAAGAATGCCATTTGCTGTTTTGTATGAGTTTGTTCCATACATGAATAGCTCAACAAAAGAAGCTGCTGGGACTTATGATGAGCTCCTTTCCCAGATTATGCTCAAGGTATGTTGGTGTTTAATCCTATCCCTTTCTTTTATTTCTGAGTTTTCAATTTCAAACACACCGGTGTTTATAAGAGCGAAAATTAGTTTTGATAATAGCGCTCTTTGATTGTTTTCAGTCACTTGTTTGAATATGAAAGTGCAGAAATTTGATGCTGGGGTGGGAGATACAGCCATTGTTGCAAATAGGACATCCTACGTTGATTTTATACTTCCTTATTCTGAATCAGGCGTTTGCATGGTGGTGAAAGTGAAAAATAACGAAACAACGAATATTTGGATTTTCCTAAGGCCTCTTAGTTGGGATCTTTGGTTGACATCTGAGGCCGCCTTCATCTTTACAGGCCTTGTAGTATGGATTCTTGAACATCGTATAAACACAGAATTCAGGCATGGTTCATGAAAGCAACAACTTGCCACCACTCTTTGGTTCTCTTTTTCAACTCTTGTGTTTGCTCATAGTAAGTCTCGCTTGCCACAACTCTTGTTTCTTTTTCAGCCGATGGGAATACGGTTTTTCGTGTTTGTTCCTATGTTGAATTTTTCTTCAACTGATCTCTAACAATTTCTACTTTCCTGTATACCAGAGGAGAAGGTGCAGAGCAACTGGACCAGATTTGTGCTGATCATATGGATTTTTGTGGTACTTATTTTGACAGAGTTACACTGCTAGCTTAGCCTCATTGTTGACTGTAGATAAGTTGCAGCCAGCTTGTTGATGTGAATGAGCTCAGAAAAACTGGTGATTATGTTGGATACCACAAGGATTCCTTTGTGAAAGATCTTTTAATAAGCCAGTTCAAATTTGAGAAGAAAAAGCTGAAGGCTTATTCTTCCCCGGAGGAATTTCATCAAGCACTGTCCAATGGAAGCAAAAATGGAGGGGTTGATGCTATCTTTGATGAAATTCCCTACGTAAAGCTCTTCCTCTGCAAGTACTGCTCAAGTGGGCATGCGTGATATCTTTGCACCAACTTGAGGGGGAGTGTTAGTAAAGTCAAAGACAAAACATAGACATCCCTAAATGGCTTGTCTACCACCTTGTTACTTTTCCTTGTTTTCATATTCCTTGTTTTAGGGATGGAAACTCTCCATGTTTCCCTCCATGTCTTGTGCATTGTTTGTAACTAATAATCACCTTGTATACTTGTATATCTAACCCTTCACTAAGTAAGAAACTCAATTGGCAGATTTGAATTCTCTGCAAAACCTATCTTGTTCTTCTTATTATACATTCTCAACTCTCTCAATTACACTATATTTGGCAAAAATTGCAAGTCAATTATTTTCCAGATGAAACCAAACGTCAAGACGCAAGTTCCACATTCTCTTCAGACAATTCTAGTCTAAGTGTGTACACTTTCGGAGGCCTCTTCATCATCACAGCAATGATTTCGATTTCTTCATGCTTGATTTATATAGTTTGTTTCCTCCACAAATACTGGCCTGCTTTGAATTCCATTCATCCAGAAGCCTCCCTCTTGTCAAAATTAGCGAAGTGTTTTGACCGAAAAGACAGCACTCTGTTTGCTTTAGAGCAAACCAGTCAAGCGACTCATGTAAATGCTGCTTCTGCAACAAATGCTAGAGGAGCTGATGCTGCTTCACCACATGCTAGGGACAACATGCTGAGCAATGCAGTGTCTTCCAACCAAGGATTGGACAATGTCTCCAAAGAGATATACCTCTACATTCTATGGATTTTGGGTGCTTCTCCTATGGTTGTGCTTGATTTCTGATACATGTGCTCTACCTACTAAGGTTCTGTTTGAGAAAATATACTTCACATAATGAATGTTGGGATTTTATTTTTCTTCAATTATTTGTTGATCTAAATGATTATTCAATTACTATTTTCACCTCGAATCAAAGACTCATAATATGTTATTAGATCAGTATGTCATTTTGCAGACAAGTTCGGCACCATATGTGCCTCTTTTCACAACGAAAGCTATTATTAGCACTCCAAAATAATCATTATGCACGCCTACGCCTTGCTTACAAGTCCTAATAACCACTCCTCCATGAAAGTGAGATTAAAATAAAGGAGTGTAAGTGTAACTTCCACCTATGGAAGGGAGATTGAAAATGAAGAAATAAAAATAATTGATTAGGTTTTGTTTTAATTTTCCTTTCCTGTTATATAGCATTCCATGCACATTTCTTGCCCTCCCACCATCTTTCTTCCTCCATATTTCCTCTATGTCTAGCAAAAACATGAAAACTAAAAAGCAACAAGAAAAAGGTTGCCAAGTGCCAATAACAACTCCCTAAACAAATGTTGAAAAAAGAGTAACTAATTACAGTTTTAGGCGATCAGCGTTTTTGTTCACATGGGCAAATGAATTTGATGAAATATTAGAAAAGGTGAAACTTTAAGACCTAGCTTGGGAAGCAAGCCATCAGTTTGGACGTCCGCATCAATCACCTGCAGAGCAAGCTAACAAGTGTTCATTATATATGTAGCAAACTAAAAGTTAAATGGCTGGCTCTAAGTAATCAATCTTTTGTAAATAGTTCAGATCAAATTAATTCCTTGCTTACCAAATTTCAACCTTATTTTGGAGACAAATAAGTAGAAAGGGCATATTCTCAAAAAATTAAAAATTAATAATAAAATTGTGGTATAGGATCATTGTACCAAGTCATAGAGTAAAAGGTTGAGAATTAGCACGATGAGAACTATAAAGAACCTGCAATTAGAAAGAAAAGATTTATATTTAAGACCATTCAATTAATCAGCACAGCTAATAATATTATCATCATTCGAACTCTACATATGAGACTTTTTTGGCTTAATTGCTAATAAATCTGGAAAGTGGTACCTCACTAATGTAAGCTAGTTGTTACAGCTCAAAAGGAGAAAATCATGGAGATTATGACTGACATTGACTTGAATAAATTGACAAATACAAACAAGTATAGGCACATAAATTACAATTTACAAGCCTTCGGGTGATAGCGCACTTTACGTACTTCACAGCCATGAGGGAGACAGCAATAAAGGAGGAATCAAACCAGAGTAGGAAGGCCAACTTAGTAAAGTTAGTCTTCATTCATCATCTCAGTGATTGTCTCCATGGATCATCAATGATTGAAACGGAACCCTCTTAATTTCCACTAGTGTGGAAAACTCCTCGTGCATTGGCTGCTTCCATGGTTCCCCATCCATCTGCATATATGCATTTCTCCACTCCCCACCTCTAACTTCCAACCGAATTGCAGCAGCCTAATACAAGTGTAACTTGTTCAATACATGAGCACTAAATTTCCAGCATATCAAATAACAATGCATGCACAGACCTTTAAAAATCAACAATGGCAAGCTCTCTGGATAAACGAACAGGCAAAACGAAAACACAATAATCCTATTTTCAGACTGAACTGACAACAAATTGAAGCCATACATTTTTTAGGCCCAACTTCTAAGTCCTTTACAACACAAAATGTGAAACAGACAAGGATTATCCATCCAACATGTCCTGCACTGCATCTCAGCATTCAGTGTTGCTACAATGTCTAAAAAATCATACCCTAAACAACATGAACCTAAAAGGAAATTTCTAATTCTTTTAAAAACGTGTGACTGGCAATACTGATTTAGCCCGGGCCAAGAGGGAACAGAACATTCCAAAATGAACACTCAGATATTCTTTTCTTTTGTAAGCATTCCATATGTATGTACAAGATGGGATAGACAGCTTTCTTCTGAATCATGTTTTAAGAAAGTTTACGAGACCATATCAAAATTTTCCAGCGGCAGAGGGGTATATTCTACTAAATTTTCATGTCTCACCTATGAATACTTCAGGTAGAAGAAAATTTAATTATTAAAAAATATTATTGAGTGAGTTTAGGACAAGCAGGCCGGGGGCAGACTGTGTGGAATTGGATAGAGAGCAGGGAACTAAAAGAGTAGCCACTTCATCAACAGATCATCCAGCTTATTATAAGTGATGTCACTAAAAACAAATGCAATTATTCAAGAGTTCAAAACTGCATCCTGAAAATTGAGGTATTTTACAATAAGATCCTGATATTATCAATATTCTAAAAAGCATTACATTTTCTGTAATTTTATTAGGTTGGGGAGCTGCTGTAGGATAGTTTTTAGACTTGTATTAAACTGTAAGAGGTGCATTTTGATTTGTTTTTTAAGGATGTTTCTTTTTTATGGTGGATTCTGGTTCACTAAGTTTTGAATTGTGATTTTAGCTCTTATAAAATTTTGTCTCTCATAAAAAAGATATTCTAAAAAACCCTTACTTTTGCATGCCGAGTAAACACTTGACCTAATAATAGCATGGAGATAGACATTGTTGCAGTACCTGAGCAATATGCTTGGCAGAGATGAGTTCAACCATAACAAAAGATGCATGCCATCCTTGTTTAAGGCCAAAAATTTCTAAAAGACCATCATCAGCATGGGCCTCCACAAAGCCTCTCTGAAACAATAAAATTTAAGCTACCGATTATTAGCTTCTCTGATATGCATGATTTAAATGAGCACACTGAATAAAATTTGCATAATCATCAAAACTTTGAACTCTACTAAATAACTTTGGCGTAAAGTTGTGAGTGAGAAAAAAAATCTAACAAAGACAAAACGATTCATATATAAATATCAACTAAAATTTCAGGACCTACTTCCAGGCATAAACAAAAGGCAACAAGGCAACCTGAACTTGCAAAAGTAAACTTCCTATCCTTGAAGAATCGTAAAAATAATAAATAAATAAATAAATATGTTTGTGTCAGCACCTCTCTTTGTGTCACCTAAAAACAAAACACAAAACTTATCCTTCAAAATACTGATAGGCAACACCACATTATTGCAGTAAAAACTATATAATACCTTTTCCAAGTACTCTGGTTTCAGATTACCCCATGGATTTCTTCCACTCCCATAGCTATGAAGATTTAGAACAACAATAGCCCTTACGCTGAAAGAAGATGAAATAACAACATAAGCTATTATGAAACAAACAAATACAACCAAAGGGAAAATCTGGTGCTTTACAAGTACTCCATGTCTGGCAGCATTGTAGTGTAAATTATTTTACGTTCAGAAAAATACAAATAAAAACCAAAGGAACGGATATAGCCATGTAGTCAGAAATAGATGACAAGGATATGATACATAGTTTATACTTTACTGGTTAAGTGATGCATAAACTTGTATTGAAAAGAACAAGAAAGTAAGAAAGAGAAGCAAACTTAAAAATAAATAAATAAAAAACTACCAAGAGCTAAGCATGCAAATAAAAAATAATGTTGCCAGAATTGTACCCCCAAAAAAAAAGTGTACCTTGATGGCACTGGAATCTGCTCCCATTCTGAGCAATTAACCTTTTTGACATGCATCCTTAGGATGTTCTTTAGTCCCCTGCAACCAGACAAATTATTGGATACACATCAGCAAAGGGACAAAGAGACGGGGAATATTACAAATCTTTGCCAATTTTACATATGTAACAATTACCCTCCCATTATAAATGTAAAATTTGTCTAGAATCACTGAGTCACATAACACAAACTCTCATTTGGCCATAAAAACTTGAAGGGTACATTAGAAAGGAGTGAGTTATAGATCAAGCAAAACCATTAAGAGGCCATTTCGCTTCTACTCCAATTCTTCTCAACCAGGGACAACTTCTAGAATGGAAGTTTTGTATTCTTAAAAGTCCAGTTTTCCTAATTCATATTAGAAAATCTTAAAACAATTACAGTCAAATCAAATTAACATGGAGAGCCGCCATCATAATAATTAAAACACTGCTTCAGTTGGGAGATATCAAACCTTAAACCTGGATCACTTGTGCAAGGTGTGAAGAACCAACCTTGAGTGCAACTATAACCAGAGTACACCAACTGCAAGAAAGATGGATCAGCCACAATACCGTGCAAATGAAATCACTGATAAAACCATGCCCCAAAGGAAAATCCAATCATATATAAAGGTAAAAAGAGATTCAATCAGACCTTATTTGAAACTGGACCTTGTGCAAGATAGGGTTTTTCGTTTCGTAAATGGTGGAATCCATAAGCAACTTGTGCATCCATTCCTGTATGACCAAATAACAAAAACAGGCTCGCGTAAAGGGAAATTCCTCATAAAAAAGAACCTATTAAACATACTTTTCCAGTATAGAAGCTTGTAAGACAAACCATGGGGATGTACCACTATCTTACCATCTAACACCATGTAAAAACCATAGGTGCATCAATAAATAAAGCCAATCTACCAATGATGTCAACATACCTATACTAAAGTAATTGTAAAACACTCCTTCGTGACAAATTGCTTTCTCAGGCAAATCCCCTTGAATTTCCAAACCCTGCAGTGAATAAAAAGTGCCAAACATAACATATACGATTATGATAAACTTAAGGCCATATCAAAAAGGGATCTCAATATGCAAAAAAAAAAAAAAAAAAAAAAAAAAAAAAACCAAACTTTCATTCACAGGAAACAAGCAAATAAACTTTATCAACAATATAATGTAAGCAATGATTCCTTAAATATTTCATCTATTTTCCCAAACCACTCTTCTTCATCACTTTTTGAGCTCTAACTCACTAGCCACTGAATAGTTCATTCTCGAAGGACACACTACAAGTATCCAAAAAGAATGTCAAAAGAACTACCTTTTATAGATACAGAAAACAGTAGGGAGAAAGGCATTGCATATGATTTGAAATTGGAAAAAAGAAAGCCCCTTCATAGAAAATTAAAGAAAATATATTAAAGCAAGACAATACATACAAAAGTCCTTCAGCATACATGTAAGGAAAATCTAAATGCAATTTTAGCCAAATACAGGATAGGATTTAGGGGCTGGGCTTCCAATGCTCACATAAGAAGCAGGAAAATGCAAATGCAATCTTGACCAATCACATCTGGCATGTCATGTGGGTGATTCTGATAGCTTATCGATGTCAGGAATTAACTAACTGGAATAACTTTGGGGAGTACAAAAAGGGTTGTGGTAATTGCAGAGAATTATTTTTTGATGGAATAACTGCAGAGAATTACAAACATATGAATTAAATGAGGAAATAAAGGAAATGTGTAGACCGAGATACCAAGAAATAAAACCTGTCAGCAACATGTAATATTCATTCATCAAAAAAGTCACTACTGCTTTACAATACAAGATATAGTTTTATTTAGTTTTCAAGAGATTGTCTTATTTGCCAGAGATAACACCATCAGATCCAGAGAATTGAGCAATATAAACATTAATTTTTACCCATAAGAGTAACTCACAAACCAGAATATTAATTGCACAGTATTTGACACCTGAATGAAAACTCATATTTCTAGAAATTTAACAATCAGAAGGTAAAGCCAGTAAGAGTAGCTAAGCAATGCAAATGTTAGAATGCAAAGTAGCCAGATTTACAACCTCATCAAGAGTGCACTCTTCGGTAGCCTTCAAAGAATGAGGTGGATCCATAACTGTACCAGCTGGCATTGACAACACAATATGCCAACTGCACCATAAATAAATAAAACAAATATTAATGTAGCTGTTAGTTGAACCAAAACCATAAATAAGTAGTGTTACTGCCACTACAAACAGAGTTGTTTATATCACAATGGGGCCTCATCCCAAATTATTTGTATATAAGAAACCCACAAAACTATAGGCTACATAGCATATAAACAGGTAAGGGTGAGAACTTAACATTAAGCTTGCCTATAACATGCCGAAAAACCAGACCAACCACCAAATAATACCAAATCTCCATTTGCCAAAAGGTTTATTATGTAAGACATTTTCCTTCGGGAGGGAGGGGGGAAGTAAACAGAAAATAAAAATTAAAAAAAATTAGTTAGACAAATCCATGAAACGAAACAGGCTGAATTGGAACCACAACATTGTTTTCAAGGGATAAAAAAAAAGAGGAACCCACATCTCAAATGCAATCAATTTGCTAACAAAACTGACCCTGGAAATGAGAGTGACACACATGCACAAAGGTGAATGCAGAGTCAAGTGAAATAAAATTTCAAGAACACATTGAAGAGTTGTAAATTTTTTCAAAAAGGGAAAAAGATTCAGAGTGCAAGAATAAAGGTACTGAATCTCCAATAGGTAAAAAAAGGTCCTGAATCTCCTATAGGGGAAAAAAGGACCTGAATCATACTAAATTTCAGTATATTAGCTGCACGCAACTTCTAAAGTAGCTAGCTACACAATCATTCATTAGAAAAGATTAGAGAAAGGCCTTAACTCTACAAGCCTTCTACTTGAAAACATATACAAACTGTTACCTAATAGGCTTACCTATCCAAACGGCATATTGGACCTGCAGTAGCCCTGAATAGAGTTTTTTTAATGGCTGATTTCCAGGCAAAAGGGAATGAACCACCCTGGTGAGAACATATATACCCATTGCTCAATAATGCAAGAAAATCTCCACAAACTCAAAATACATTGCAAAAAGATAGCTTACCCAACCAAAACTCCTAGACAGATCGTTTCCCGTGCCAAGTGGAACAATTCCTACCGGAGGAACTGGTTCCCGACCCTGTCTATTTAGTTCAGATAGGCAACCTAATACCCAACCGACTGTACCATCACCCCCCGCAACCTGCACAATCATTCCAATATATTGCTGTAGGGATCCCACTAGATGCCAAAAGTCAGAGTAATTATGAGATAAGGGCTTTAAGTAAATGTGCCGCAATGTCATACCATAACCCTGATCTTTTGACGACACTCTTTCGCACAAATGTCACCAAGATCAGCCAATAACTCTAGACAACCCAATCCATACTGAACGAATTCATGAGGCTTCACATCTGAGAGGTCAAAAACCTGCATAACAAATTATTTCCAATTCAAACAAACCAACCCTTATACAAATTCAAGAAATATGAAGAAAACCTGTATGGAAAACAAAGAAAAGGGACTAACAAACAGATATGAAAGGGAAAAAATTCAAAAAACACTGATTCAGATGAAAAAGGTCAGCCTACTTCAAAATGCACAAGCTAAACATACATTTGACTAGATGGTCTTAATTCCACGTTGTTTTTGCAGCACACGCTCACAGAAAAGCTTCATAACAGGCATGATCTTTTACTACTCCAGGACACAGAAACCACTAACTTTTAGCTTATATTTGTTTGGCGGAATGGGATTCTAGGAATCTTAAACCTATTCCTTGCAATGGGACTTTAAAAGCCCATGAACCCAACCCAGCATTCTCATTTCAATGTTTCCTTTTTCTTTTTTCTTTGCCAGTACCATTTCAGTGTTTTAAAAAATGCTGATAATGGAAATGCGTATAAGGACAGCTACGATTGCCTATCAGTGCCAGACAACTTCGTTCCGCTGCCTCCTCTGTTTTCTTTTTCGTTTTTTTTTTCTTTGTAAATCCCTTGCTGCCTTATAACAACACAATACATCCATACATTACGTAAACTCCCGAAGTTTAAACTCACCCATTAAAACCCAAAAGGAAAAGTTCTCCGCAGAAAAAAAATAATAACAACACAAAAATAAAAGGAAAAAAACACCAATAATTATTCTACGTAATCGAAAACCCCTAAACCGTACGTAAGCTGCAAGCAAGAAAGAACACACAAAAATGTAAGTTCATGCATAGACATAAATAATAAATTATAGAAAGAAAAAAAAACTTTTTTTCCACTATTGGATTCTCAGAAAATTAAATTCTTTATAATGGTTCACTACCCAAAAAAAACTATCAAATAGGTCACCAGAAAAACCAAAAAAAAATCAATTGGGTCGGCAGAAAACCAAATAATAAAACAAACATCCAAGGGATCAGTCAATGTCAATTTAATAAACTTGAGAAGAAAAAAAAAACCATACCTGTTCTTCACCCATCAACATTTGGAGCCTCTCCTTGAGCATAGGCCCATGCCTCCCGCCACTCCGCGGATTTATAAACACAACCATGGGTGACTCCGGCGGCGTCTGGTCGTCATTTTCAGCGGTGGCGGTGGCGACGAGGTCTCGGCTTCCCGGAAGGCGGCTCTCTCCGGCGCTTGGGTCCTTTAACCGTATGGAATCGCGCATGGCGAACCGGAGGTACTGCGGCATCAAGAGCTTCTTCTTCAGGTCCTCCTTATCAATTGTCATCCCCGATAGGGTGCAGCTCTTGAACGAATCGATCATCGACGATCGCGCGCTGATCCGCGTCGTCGACGACGGCGAATCCATGTCGCCCTCTATTTTTCTCTCTCTTCTCTTTCTCTCTCCTCTCTCCTCTCTCTCGCTGAAAAGCGCGTTTATAATTGAAATTTCAAAATAACAAAGGGGTAGAGAAGAATGATGTGGTCGGGCTCTGGACTTTATTGTGCAAAAATATTTTAAATTTAAAATACAGTTTCTATTATTAGCCGTCTATTCTATAGTTAGGAAATCTTATCCCAAAACTTTAAGACATTTTTAAAATTTTAGTTTGATCAATTGGCGTAATTACATTTTAAAAAAATGAATAAATACACACGGAGATTCCGCGTCCAATTTAGTCAAAGTCACTTTCATCAAAAACAAATTTAGTCAAAGTCACCAGTAAAAGTTATAGTAGGGTGATGTGTGAAAGATAATAAAATGTTCACACAAAAAAAGATAAAATAAAATTATGGGACTTGACGAATGTTTATGACAGAAGTGTTTTTTTCCGAGAAATACTAGATAGATTATATTTAAAGATAACTTTGCGTGTTATTTCGTCATTATTTGAGTTATACGTGATTATCTTCATATTAAGTCAATATGTTATTGTGTTTGATTACTGAAGAAGATTTACTCATATTAAACACCAAGGACAGAACTACTTGTAGGCTCTACTAGGCTCCAGCCCAGTGCGGTTTTTTGGTTTTCCACATATAAGATGAGTTTTACAAGCCAAACTAGGGTAAATCAAATATTAGCCCACCACTTTAGGTAGAAATAAGCCCATCAATACAACCAATCTCTACACGAGAGACAGGCCTCTGCAAACAAACTCTAACACGTGTTGGTTCATGATTTAATGGAAAAGCATTTTGTGATTTGTGTCGATGTTTCCAGCACAAAAGGAACCAAATTATAATTATAAAAAACTCTAACATTTATCAAGCTTACATAAAATAAAAATAATAATAAAACTCTAACACTTTCCTCTTTTCTTTCACCCTTTTTTTTTAATGTTTTTCCTTTTCTCTCTTACTTTTTCTTTATCTCCTCTCCCCTCTCTCCGATTATTTCCTTCTCTTTCAGTTTCTCCCTCTATTAATTTTTTCTATTTCTATGTACACTATCAGCGGCAAGGAAGGTCTTTGGGCATGGATAGCCATTACATAATGTAATTTACATCATAGGTTTTATTATCTATTTTTTAGATAAACTTTTTTGAAAACTATCAGTACGCGAGTCTTTGAGCTGTCATGAATTCATAGCTATTGACAAAAAAATCACGGGAAATACTTTCTTTTGGGGTCAATTTCATCTTGATCTGGATTGTTGGTATTGAGGTTTTACGATCAAGCCAAGATGAGTGATGGCGAGGCAAATCTGCTACCATGACCAAAAAAAATTTAGCCCATCCTACAAAAACTCCTGGTTCCATCATTGTTTTTTTTGAGAAATTCTAGGATTGCATTCATAATTCAGCCAAAAAAGCCATTAGCCACAAGGGGCCAAAACAAACTAGCCACAAAGGGCGATTACAATAACGGAGCGGTCGAACAACAAAATTAAGACAATCTAGTGCGCCTTCACTAACGATCACGCAGGATCGAATAAACTCTGGTATAGGCATCTCAACTAAGATTGCAAACTCAGAATAAACAAAAATAGATAAAGCTTGAAAATGACGCCGAAACGCAGATGGAGATCCGACGTCAAAACATAGGTGGAGATCCAACGCTGAGACGCAATCGCCTATGATGGTTAGAGGAAGATCATAACAAATCGCAATCGCCTATGAGGGAAAACCATTTGTCTCTGACAATGAGGGGAGAAGAGAGGGAGGAAGAGAAAGAAGGGAGAGGAGAGGAAGAACAATGGCTTCCTCCCCCCTCAAAGTGAAAACGGCTCTAGGAGGGTTTTTTGGGAGAGAGGGGCTAGGGTTTTTGGGGCCCTTTCAGTTTAAAAATCCTGGTTCCATCATTGTTAGACACCAAAGTTGTTTTTGTACTCGTATTTTTTCATTAATAATTACTATCGTTTATTTTATATATATATCATTCTTTTTTTATATTTGATAATATTTAGATGACCAAACGATTTTTGATTCGGTTAATTTTATTCAAAAGAGAGATGAAAATTGAGAAGAAATAAGGTACAAGGGAGAATGAATGTAGCAAGTATTCATCTCTCTATATTAGTTTGAAAACTGTTTTATGACATTTTTTTTCTACAGGAATTGACAAAAATATTCTCTTTCTATAATAGTTTAACAGAACAAGGTTATTTATTAAAAATTAGGATGATAATACCTTGGAGAGCGACTTGTCTATAGCTTGGCAAGACTTATTAGATCTTAATATTCCAGAGTCTTTCATGACCTTAATTTTTCATACTATTATTATGAAAAATGAACTCATGAGGTAAGCTAATCTACGTGTAAGACATTAGTTTCTTTCTCTCTTTAAAGTCTTAGTGGCTGCCAATAGAGTCTATCTTAGTGAAAAAGGGCTTTGACTTACAGATTAAATATTTCAGGTTCGAATCTCCACAAAATTATAGTTGTAGTTTAAACTATCACTTGTACTAAAATATAAATAAAAAAAAGCTTTCGTGGCTTTTCAATAGAAGGTACTAATTTTTATAACTTTGGAGACTTATTACTACTAACTGAAGTTTAAAAAGATAAAAAATTTCCTTGTAATTATTTCTAATGGCTCTCTATAGTATTCTCTTTAGCTAGCTTGACATATTTATATTGCCTTGAAAGAGAATTAGGATATTCGTTTTATCAACATTGTTTTAGTTTTTCAGTCTTGGTAGTTTGTTCAATAAAGTTCAAAAATTCTGAATTTTATGTGTTATTTTTCTCTTATAATTCCAGAAACTTGGTTGAGTTTGTTGGGTGTTTGTAGTCTCTTTAGGAGAATCAAGCTGGTTAGCAACCGATTGTGTCCTTGATGTAATTAGACTAGATTCAGGGAAACAATGGTGGTAGAAACGGGTTATAGAAAAGTTATTTTTTAGAGTGATCCTCTCTAGATCATTTCAGTTCTTCCGCTGGCTCAGGTTACTTGGGAAGTTTTATCTATTGGGATGACTACTTTTACATTCTCCATCATTTGACTCTTTTTTCTTGTTAATCTAATAAATTTCTATCACCTTTTTATCCAAAAATAAATACATAAAAATGTCGCGGGTATTATTGGGTTATTGAGACTTGGAGAGAGATTCCATGCTTCATAGGCATAACAACTTTCTCTCTCCTTACCTCCCTACTTATTTCTCCCCTTTCTCATCTACTGGATATGGGGTTTTAATTGTAGGGAGGTTATTTGTGTCTAGATTTATTTTGAATTTTGGTTTTTTTACCTAGATTTGCTTGGATCTGTGGTTTTGTTGGTTGGTTTTTGTTGTAGGGTGACGGGTTGTAATCTCAATGGTGTTCTCTGTCTCCAAGGTCACGACGATGACTGTTGTGGCGGTGGCAACATCGATGGTAGTGGCTATGTTGATTTTTGGTTATTGTTTGTTTGTAATTTTATTATTTTGTAAAAATTGCATTAACTCCTTGTGAGTTGGGTGTTTGATTGTTTTCTAGTCTCTACATATATTTTGTACTGTAATATAGGTGTTAATAATTTATCAAACAATCTTGCACTTTATATATCATATTTGTATTGGATCTCTTGTGGTCCTCTGGTCCATGCTTCACATGGGATACCAGGGATAAGATTCTTTTCTTTCACCAACACCATTCTTCTCTTTAATACTAAATAAAGAACTCTTAATTATGTATATACGATTCAGATTGAAAGCTAAGCAACACCTTTATTGGAAAGAAAATTTAAAAAAAAAAGGAAAGAAAGCTAAAGGAATACCAAAACAAGGGTGTCTTTTGCTTTTATTCCAATAGACCTCGTTTGGCACGCATGATGAATAGTATTTTAATCCAATTCTATGTTTGGTAATAAAAAAATGAAATTTGAATTGGATGAAAAATAATCCAGTCATAATCACATAATTTATATTTTTGCAAATGATGTTTTATTTTGTGCAAGGGCATCCTTTTTTTTGGGGATCATTTTTTATTATCGTACAAGAGTGTTGGCACTAAAACTGAACAGATAGAGATAGATGCAACTTACAAGTGGTAAGGACGATCGAGGGATCGATTGAGTGTGTAGATGTTCACCTTCATGGGATGCCGATCCTGGATAGAGGAAAGTAATGGATCGTGAGGTCCATTGCACCGGTGTGGTACCAACCTAAGACCCTCCGATGCCAAAGTAAGTTTATGTTTAAGAGTTTTTCTGTTGACAATGTATTTAGCATAAAAGTCAAGCTGAAAAAGTCTTACCCCTTGTCTATGGTGAAGGGGCGTATTTATAGAGGGCATTTGGGATGCTCTTGGTACTTAGTTTCGATGTGGGACTCGTGGGAGGGTCCTCCGAGATCGACACGAGTCCGTAGATATTTTGGGCGGGGCTTTCGAGGTTGATCCGCAGAATCGGCAGGATGTGCCGATTGAGGGCTGTGGACATCGATCGGTAGGTAAAGTCGATCGTTCTTCATAGAGGCAACCCGGTGAGCATACCACTGTTGGGGTTTTTGAAGGTAGAGTCGGCGTTGGACACCGATTCTTGCTCAGGTGACCTATCGATGCAAGCCGCACAATTGATCTTCTCCTTGCCTTAAGTCCACGTGTCATGGTGTAATTGGCGGGTTAGATATGGTACAAACAAAGAAATAATGAGGGGAGGGAAGATCGAACTTAAGACGTTGAGTGTAGGGTAAATATTTTTAACTACTTCAGTTATAAATTATTTACTTTTTGAGACCAATTTTAATCACTTTGTATCTGTGTACTAGAGAAGATGACGATATTTGCCTTTCTTTTTTTCTTCTTTTGGGCTAA